GTTGTAAGATTTCTAGCCACACAACTTTTCCTTAAGCCACTGGCAGGTTTGGCACAACTTGACAAACGTAAATCAAAGTTGTCATATTTTGTACAGAAAATATTTAAAGTTTAAGTTCACATGATAGGAGATATTTGATTTTAGATAACAAAATGGTTTATTGCAGGGCTATTCCATCCTGGCCCTCGAGGACCGGCACCCAGCACGTTTCGGTTTTAACCTTGCTTCAACACATCTGATTTCAATTAGTAGGTGATTAACAGGCTTCTGCAGAGTCTGATGAGCTGCTGCACAGGTGATTCATCCACTGAATCAAGTGTGTTGGACCAGAGAAACCACTAAAACCAGGCCCGGAATTGATTAGACCTGTTTATTATGTGAAGTGCCTTGAGACGACGCTTGTCGTGATTTGGTGCTATATAAATAAACTTGACTTGAACTTGAGAAAGTTTAGTATATCTTTTTTATTGGAGGGACCACTGGTTCATAATGATATAGTACATATAGAGTATCAGTTAAACAGCCAAAATCAATCATCCCTAATTTGTATGTAATCAGAAATAAAAGAACAACTTCTATGGGTATATTAGATGCCGTAGAAGAAATCACCAGTGCACTTGGCAACAAAAAATGTGCACTTGGAATTTTTATTGACTTCCAAAAAGCTTTTGATACAATAAATCACTCAATTCTGCTTGACAAATTGGCAAGATATGGAATTAGAGGAGTGGCATTGAGCTGGGTAAGAAGTTATTTAAGTGGAAGGGTACAGTATATTAATATTGGACAGAAAAAGTCAAAAAATCTTGCCATTGTTTGTGGTGTACCCCAGGGATCAGTACTGGGACCTAGTTTGTTCAATTCGTACATTAATGATATTTTTGAAACATCGTCATCGTCTTCTTCCTTCCCTTATCCGGGTCGCGGGGGCAGCATCCCAACTAGGGAGCTCCAGACCGTCCTCTCTCTGGCCATCTCCACCAGCTCCTCCGGCAGGACCCCAAGGAGTTCCCGGACCAGAATGGAGATGTAACCTCTCCAACGTGTCCTAGGTCAACCCGGGGGCCTCCTGCCAGCAGGACACACCCAAAACACCTCCCCAGGGAGGCGTCCAGGAGGCATCCTGACCAGATGCCCAAACCACCTCAACTGGCTCCTTTCGATCCAGAGGAGCAGCGGTTCTACTCCGAGTCCCTCCCGAATGTCCGAGCTCCTCACCCTATCTCTAAGGCTGAGCCCGGCCACCCTACGGAGGAAACTCGTTTCGGCCGCTTGTATCCACGATCTCGTTCTTTCGGTCATTACCCAAAGCTCATGACCATAGGTGAGGATTGGGACGTAGATCGACTGGTAAATCGAGAGCCTGGCTTTCTGGCTCAGCTCCCTCTTCACCACGACAGATCGGCTCAGCGTCCGCATCACTGCAGACGCTGAACCACTCCGCCTGTCGATCTCCCGATCCTTCCTACCCTCACTCGTGAACAAGACCCAGAGATACTTAAACTCCTCCACTTGAGGTAGGACCTCTCTCCCGACCCGGAGTTGGCAAGCCACCCTTTTCCGGTCGAGAACCATGGTCTCACATTTGGAGGTGCTGATCCTCATCCCAGCCGCTTCACACTCGGCCGCAAACCTACCCAGCAAGAGCTGAAGGTCAGAGCTGGATGAAGCTAGGAGGACCACATCATCCACAAAAAGCAGAGATGAGATTCTCCTGCCACCGAACTCGACACACTCCACACCATGGCTGCACCTAGAAATTCTGTCCATAAAGGTAATGAACAGAACCGGTGACAAAGGGCAGCCCTGGCGGAGTCCAACCCTCACCGGGAACAGGTCCGACTTACTACCGGCTGTGCAGACCAAACTCATGCTCCTCTGGTAAAGGGACTGAATGGCCCTTAACAGAAAGCCACCCACCCCATACTCCTGGAGCGTCCCCCACAGGATGCCCCTGGGGACACGGTCATAAGCCTTCTCCAAATCCACAAAACACATGTGGATTGGTTGGGCAAACTCCCGTGCCCCCTCCATCACCCTTGCAAGGGTACAGAGCTGGTCCACAGTTCCATGGCCAGGACGAAAACCACATTGCATTGAAACATCTACATCACTAAAATTAATTTTATTTGCAGATGATACAAATACATTTTATAGCAGTGACAATTATCCAAATCTTATCCAAAAAAAAATGAAGAATTGATTGTTGTTAAAAGATGGATGGGCAGCAATAAGTTGTCATTAAATTTAAACAAGACTAAAGCAGTACAATTTGGTAATCAAGAAACAAAGTTTGAGTTGCCAATAAATATAGATGGATTTCAAATTAAAATGGTACAAGAAAGCATATTTTTGGGAATCACAATAGACAGTAAACTGTCATAGAAACCTCACATCAGACACACAAAACAAAAAATCTCAAAAAGTCTATCGATAATACATAAAGCCAAGTCATTTCTTGATTGCAACACACTTCGTGTATTGTATTGCTCCTTAGTTCTCCCTTATTTTACTTATGGCACTGAGGTATGGGGGAATAATTATCAAAGCTACTTACAGCCTTTTTATATATTGCAAAAAAGAGCGGTCCGTATCACAAGTAAGGTTGGATTCTTAGAACACACAAATCAACTTTTTTTTTTACAATCAAAATTATTAAAATTACAGGATTTAATTAAATATCAAACAGTTCAAATTATTTTCAATACATTTAATAAACTTCTACCAAATAAATTACAAAAGCTATTTCTAATTAAAGAGCTGTCACATAGCCTCAGGAGAGATAAAATATTTAAATTACCACTGGTGCGAACAACACGTAAAAGCTTTTGTGTGTCTGTGTGTGGGATAAAAATATGGAATAACTTAAAGACTGATCACAAAGTCAAAATATTCAGATTTTTAAAGCACCCTACAGAAGAACAGTTTGGTTAAAATACATTACAAATGAGAATGGGCAATGATGTGAGTAAAGGTGTATGGGAATATATAATTAATGATATTGACAAGAATTGTTAAATTGTCTAGACTACATTATAATTATTGTTATGATTTTCTTTGGTCATAAGGTTGTTGAATTTGAGTTTTTTCTACATATTGAATGTGAAACTATTAGTGAAAAATAGGGGTGGGCTTGAATAAGCTTGGCTTCCGCCCACTCCCTTTCGAACATGCCTACAACAATGTTAACTTGATTTATTATTGATTTATCTTGTGAGGTTTATTATTGATTTATATCCTGTTGTTAATTGCAATGTTATTGGCATGTTGGAAATAAATAAATGATGATGAATATATAAACTCTTTTCTCACTAACCCATCCTTCCCCTGGGTGGTCCCAAGGCCTGGGAGGTTGAGTCCTTCCCAGTATCATAGCTGTTCCTAGATCTGCATTTTTCTGGACAGAGATGTCAGATATTTGTCCCGGTTTTTGCTGGAGCCACTTGTCCATTGTGACGGTCTGAAGTGCTCCGATGACCATGGGCACTATCCAGGGTCTTTCTAGCTCTTCCCTGAGCCCGTGCCATTTCTTCAGTTTGTAATGTTCCTTTTTCCCGATGTTTCCATCATTTGGGATGGCCACATCAATTACAACAGCTGTTCTCTGCTGCTTATCAAAGATCACAATATCTGGATGGATCTGGATGTCCCATCTTGCTTGGTCATTCTCCACTACCTTTGGAGGTGATTACCACGTTGACCTATAGGGGTCTCCAGTGTGCAGTGTTGGTAGACCTGGGCTTCTATTGCTGGTGTTCAGGGTTTGCTTCTGTGCAGCCATGCTCAGCATTTTTGTGCTTTCAGTCCACCCTTCTGTCATTGATATGATATGGTCACAACAGCCACTTCAGCTATCTGTCAGTGGTAAATCTTCTGTAGCATTTTTGCAGGCTTTTTGCAGGCTACCTGATTACTGGCATTAGCATCTCATAATGCAATTAGTTATAAATGATATGTGCATACTCTGAAGCAAAAAAAAAATTATAAAAACTCCACAGCAAGTTGTACTGATTTAATATTTTTGCCAACAATGTTATACATGGGACATTATCTTGCAGCAAGGCAGGATATTGTGAACAATACATTTGATTAATAAAAACAAAACTAGGAAATTAAAGATTTTCTTAAAAGCTTATGTAAAAACATCCTCCATGATGGTGGTAAACGATGGTGTTAATAAGTAATAATGTCTTAAGCTATAATATGGTTGATACAAAATATGTTCATAACGTTTTTGGTCAGTACCTTCAAGAATGATCCATTTCAGGGCTCTGTCACTTTAAGAAAACAAGCTTTAAATGGCCCTGTCCACCTATAACCCCACTCAGGCTGCTTTAAACAGGGGCTCAGTGTAGAGTCACTGCTCCTCCCACAGCAGCTCCCTTTGCACAAGAGGTGCTTCTGTTCTACTTCATTTGTGACATCACAAAAAGGGACTTTAAGAAACTGCTCATTTTAGACACATAAACGGATAAATTGCTTGCTTAGTATGAGGATTGCTGTATAGTCAATGACACTCGTCAGTGACTTGATGCAATTTGCTGGGTTCCTTACATAGGAAACATTATTTCTGATTGGCTTAATGAACTGTGAATTGGAATGTTTATTATGTGAAGTGCCTTGAGACGACTCTTGTCGTGATTTGGCGCTATATAAATAAACTTGAATTGAAATTGAATTGAATAAATTGAATTTTTTTCATGTCTGTGTTTTTTATTGAGGCAGTAGACTCTAACGGCAGCAAAAATTGTTGCAATAGGTGAGTTTTGCATAAAATGTCCCTATTACATAATTGCTGTTATAAATAAAGTACACCTGTGATTGATATTAACCCTTTTGACTTGTACTCTCTTACCGACCATCAGGTGGCAGTATAGCCCAAGGTAAAGAGGCACAGTTCTGCCTCTCTCCAGGGTTATTTTGTAATCACTTCATGTGTTTGTAACTGATCAAACATCTGTGTATTAAATCAGGGAAATGACTAAAACAAAACTAGCATAGATGTTTAAAGAGGTATTAAAAGGTTTATTACAACAACGCAACGATTGAAATTTTATACAGAACTTTCACATGACATAAACACTGTCAACACCATATCACACCCAGGTTTTGAAGCAGTTTAAGCCAGGGTAAAACAAATCACAACTCAAGTCGTAATAACTTGTTTAATTGACCATTATTTTCTTAGTTTGAGGCGTCATTAAACAAAGTCAAATTCTCGTAGAGAATCGTTGTCTCATGCAGAAAGCACAACAGTAAAACTTTAAAAATCCCATTTTCAGAAAACAATGTGTTGGTAAAAACTACACAGTAGTAAGCCAGTAGGGACTAAGAGAAAAAGCAAACTGACTTTAAAAGCTGGGCTTTGTTTCTCATAATTAATGAACAAATAATCACAATCAGTTTGTGTAACTAAAGTACACGATGCGATTCCAGTTCACATGAGAATATTTTCATTTTACAATCTACTGATGCATTCTAATCAGATTAAAGGTCATTTTCTTTAAACTTGATGTGATCAAGAGAGTTCATCTACTAAATGTGTACAATCTTATATAACAAAGTACATAATATCAAGAATGACCACAGGCAAGTTCAATATTGATGTGTTCTTTGTTTTTCTTACAATGTTTACTAAAAATGTCATCTAGAATTGCCATCATGAAAACAACCTAATGTCCCTAAATGTTCTGCATCGGATACTGAAGACACGCATGAAGCAAACACAGTAAACAGAAGAAATCTGAGAGAACAGCAATAAACTCAGGTTATTCTTATTTTTTTTAATGCACAGAGGTAATTTATACAAAAACGTTAATGGCACTGAGTAAAGTCAACGTCACCATGACGGAGTAATAAACAAAAAAGTACTGCGATCCTACAATCACTGCTTCAGGGACAATCAGACTACAGGTGGAGTGTTAATGAAAGACGCAAATCCAGCCGGCTCACCGGTGTGACGCTATTTTACATGCAGAGGCGAGCTCAAACATTCCCCAACGACAGCTGATCTTGTTTTCATAAACACTCGTCAAATTAAAACTCCGGTTTTGTGTCCAGAATTTAGACCAACTTCTTAATAAAGCTGCCAGTGTCTCGCCACCTCTCCAAAAAGTAAACCCATCTCCTCTCAGATATGTGGAAAATGGTCAAAGCAAATTTACTTAAAGCAAAAATCCAGAGTTTTTCCTCAGAGGGCACCATCTAGAGGTGGAAAAACGGTATTACACCTATGAGCCCTTTTCCCTGCTTCTGTGATCATGGCTGGAAGCAACGCCCCTCGTGTGTGAAAGTGCACCTCTGGCCGACAGACGTAGCTAAAACATTGTTTTACAATTAGGACGACGGTGGTAGAGGAGTTACGTGGCCGCCTCGTAACTGGAGGGTTGTGGGAACGAGTCCCACTCAGTCCGTCACAGTGGTTGTGTCCTTGAGCAAGACAAGTTACCTTGCCTGCTGGTGGTGGTTGTTAGGGACCAGTGGCACCTGTGTTTGGCAGCCTTGCTTCCGTCAGCCATTACAGCTGTGGCTATATTGTAGCTCATCACCACCAGGGGATGTCTAACACTACTGGCTAATGCTAATGCTGAGAAGTGCTCAATTCAAACTGCACGGGGCTCTATGGGATGGAGGCAATCTGAGCCCAAAAAAGAAAAGAAAAAAAAGTATTGCTAATTATATCACAGTACCAGGTAACACTACCACTTTTACTAATTTCTAAAAAATTATACATAATTCCTCGAAAGGGAGAAAACTCCAGATTGCTGCTTTAAAGTATCTTCATCATAAAGGTAGTGCTTGTAAAGTTCAAGAGCATTAAAAAAAGAGCAACACCACACTTTGGTAACAACTGACTGCTCAATCACTTCACTTGGCTGATTTCCAATCAATAAATATAAAGAAGATCAATAAACAAGTTCAACAAATACAAAAACACCTAAAGTGCATGTTCTTCTGTTTTCAGCAGTTACAGAGAATACGTTGCATGTTTAAAAGCATTCCTATGAATTACTAAACAGGCCAAACGCAATACAAAGCAATCAAGAGAGAATGAAAAAGTGTACAATCTGAACTGAAGCGGAGAGAGAAACTATTTCCTCTGCTTGTCTGAAGAGACCGCCGCGCTCCAGCGTGGATGCAGTTTGGGACGATCAGCTCCCTGAGGACTGGGATTTGGTAGCGCCCCTCCGTGGCTGACTCTCCTCTGTGCTTGGGTTAGCCGAAGCGGCACTGGCTGGGGCGGAGACGGCCGGAGCTGAGGAGGAGCTAACCCCATTGGAGGTGCTGACGGAGCTGTGCTGGATAGCCTCGTTCTGGGGGCTGCTGGGGATGGACATCTCCTCGCAGCTCTCATCTTTGTCGGAGACTGTAAAAACATCAAACAACAGCCGGCCGCGAGGCTTAAATATCCTTCCTTACATTTTATTTCAGCAGATAAAACCCAGAAGGCAATGGGGTAGCCGTGTCACACAAGCCTATTTGCATGTAAAACAGCTATCAGCGTGTAGAGGATGCAAACCATTTCATTAATCCCCATAATGCTACTTCTGCACCCCTTTCCTTTAATTAACGCTCCAATGTCAATTTAAACCCACATCATAAGGGGGCATTACATTCTGGGGCATGTGGCAGCGCTTCCCATCCCTAACTGCAGTCTCATTTGTTTTTTGTTACCTTGCCAACTACTGCAGCGACAGATGATTACAGCACCTGATTTTAATGATGCTCACACTGGAGAGTAGGGAAGACTTGGAGTCGAAATGCCACCAGCTGTTAGGCAGTTGCATTGAATTAATTGGATCCTGATGGGAAAAAAAAGACTCCACTCTCATGCTCCGTTTCATACAGGAATAAGGAGCACGATGATAATTAATATTGCTAATGATATAAAGTCGCTTGTTACTCCACTCTGTAATTAATGAGCAGGTCTTTGAGAATCTAAAATACAAATTCCATCGAAAGGGAGCAACGTCTGAACGGCTGTAGAGAAGTCTTCCTAAAAGGGTGTTAAGAAAAACGATAAAGCACACGTTGACTTCTGTTTCAGGTCAAAATCTAAATTAGCTTAGTGGTTTTGTTTCATGTTCAAGCGAGCATCATTGCTCCTAACAACACCAAGTGGCGGCCAGCTGATTTATCATAATACTCTGAAATTCCTGCTTCCCCGGGTGGGCAGAGCTTCTTTCCGCTCTCTCGCTTTCTGAAGCAGAGGCTCGCTGTAAACAGATGGACGGCTCGTGGTGCCAAGTGAAACTGTGTCCTGGCTTGTTGGTGGGGCAGTCTGGGCTATTTCCTTCCACCAGCCAGTTCCTGCGCCTGGGCAGGGGGATTACGGAGTCCGGAGGGCAGAGTGGCCGTACGGGAGTTGTAACTCTGAGAGACTTTTATGAAGTCTGTACATGAATGATCAGAGTCAAATAGTGCTTTACTAATTACACTGATATTTAAAGTGGCACCAAACCAGGGGATCCTTGTGCTTTTGGGGTCATTTCTGCAGTTGTTGAGGACTAAATGATTTTAGATTGTGGTGGGCTGCATGGTGGCGCAGTGGTTAGCACTGTTGCCTCGCAGCAAGAAGGTTGCAGGTTCAAAACTCGGCTGCGGTCTTTCTGCGTGCAGTTGTGTGTTCTCCCCATGCATGTGTGGGTTTCCTCCGGGTACTCCGGTTTCCCCCACAGATCACAACATGCCCTATAGGTTATAATTGTACGTTGCTTTGGATAAAAGCGTCTGCTAAATAAATAAACATAAACATAGATTTATGCAACCAAAAGGAGAAATTACATATGGATATAATAATGACATATAACTTATTAGAAATGTAAAAATAGTTTGAATTAAATTAAAAAAAATAGATATTGGATAATGACAGGTGGGGGCATAGGAAGTAATTAAAAGGGAATTAGGAGTAGTACCAGGGGCGGCGTTAGGCCCGGCTACTCGGGCTCAAGCCCCGAATGTTTTATGAAAAGACTAGTGTGTGTTCTGTGTGTGTGTGTGTGTGTGTGTGTGCGTGCACACGTGTGTTAAGCCCCCGGATCTTCTTCAGTCCTAAATCCGCCCCTGAGTAGTACAAATTTTTTACAATAAGAGTCCATTTATTTATATTACACAGTGAATTACTAAGCATTTATAAGCAATTAAATAAAGTATTAACAACTGCTTAACCATAATAAGTAATACATTAATAACCAGCCACCCTCCCTTGGCCCTTTGTCTTAACCTTAGGGACAACAGTAACAGTAAAGGCAACAATGGGACATTTTGTTTATTAATGCTTAATAATGCACTAAGTAACTTTAATAAAGGGACCCTTAATGTAAAAGTTTAATCAATGCAAAACTGTAAAGTTGCAAAATGTATAAATAACTTATCAATGCAATGAAAACATTCACAATTTAAAATTTAACGGTCTACCATGCATTCATGCTTTGCACAAAAATAATAAGTTTGCCCAATTCGATTGAACTCTCACTGCTCTTGATGCGCACAGTAATGCAAAGTAAAATTAGGTTGAGTTGCTAAACCACATTGAAAGTACTGAGAATACTCAATAATACTGTGGCTGCTGCATGCTTTATTGTGCAGCCCGCAAAAAAAATAAAGCAAGTTTTTTAAATGATATAGGAAGCTCTAAAATCCTGTTTGAACTTGACTCCTTGAGGGTTTGTTTGAGTCGGACATAAAACAACTTTCACTTCACTCTCACATTAGCTGACTTTCAGCCCATACTTGAAGAAAACATACCATATTAAACATATCAATTGAGGCTTTTGGACGACGTTCTATTATTTAAAACCAAGTTCTTCAAGCGCCATCCTTCACAAAGTTGCAGAAAGCCACAACACACATTTTGAACAAAGGTATGACGAGAAATGACCATATTCATCCATGGATCCTGTTAAAAAACATCTGCCCCGAATCAAATGAGCACTGCCTCTGACAGCGCGCTCTAGCCTGGAAACCATCAGTCCCATAATGCACAGGGAAGTGTGTGTCTGTGGGACGGTGGGCAATGAGAGATGCATAATGAACAGCGTAGCTTGGCGGACACTTCACAATGGGAATTTTCTGCAGTCTTGTCAAGACTGCTGCTTTAATGGACTCATTCCAGTGGCAATCACTGTCAATATAAGTCAGGCGAGGTGTTTAGGGGACAGTGTGGATGCTGTGTGGTTCATTCTGGTTGCATTTGTGAGAAAAGGTGAGTTATGACCGCAAAATCAAAATGACAGAGCGGCGGTCTAACGAAAACGAAGAAAAATTGGTGATAGAATTCTAAATGAGACCATGTGACGACACTCCACAGACCAGGCAGACAGCAGGAAATTTAGATAAAGAGGCTCAAAATGGTAGGATGGTTAAAGATCATCATTGTAAAAATAGACTGAGTGTTAATTTAGGTATCAGAGATGAAATCCCTCATTTTCCAGGTGTGGCCTCTGAAAGACGCCATAACTACCAACAAAAAACATCTGAAGTTCAAAGTTTTACAGAAACAAATATGAATAAAAACAAACCCTGTACATCGTTTCGCTCGACGCCTCAGGCTGAGAATAATGGAGCATTACTCACTGTGATAGCCAGACTTCTTCTGCATGGCGGTTACAGGGCAATCTTTATGAGCCAGAAGGAGCTGCTTCAGCTGAGCCACTTCGTTTCTCAGCAGGGTGACTTCATTCTTGAGGAGAGAGGAGACACGCAACACTCTTCAGAGAAATGGTCACTATCCAGAGACTCTCCACACTCAATAAAGTCAGAAAAAACCACAAACTTAGATTCCTACTTAAACACATTTGAGACTTTTTCAGTCAAATATTTGGAGCTGACTTTAAACAAGACCAGTTGCATGTTTTGTTTCCGTTTCTCAGCTGTATACTTAAATGGCAGTAATGCATCTGAGGCACCTTATGTTCAGTCAGTTCCTCTGTCTATCTCCTCTCTAAATTCCAAACTCACCCAGACTAGATGGTATTTTGGATGCATTTTGCAACTTTTGCCACAAGATGGAACCATTAATCAAGCTTGCTAACACAAACTAAGGCTGTGTCCTAATTCAGAGGCTGTGTCCTTCCTAGGCTGCATTTTAAGGTTGATTATGTCACAACAAAGCAACAAGGCAGTCTAAATTCCAAGATCAAAACTCGTCCAGGTTTTCCCTGAAATTCAAAGATGGATCTGGGGCAGGAGTCGGTAACCCACGGCTCTGGAGCCGCATGCGGCTCTTTCATCCATTGGATGCGGCTCTCTGCTTGTAAACTAACTAATGAATATTTAATTACATTGTATTTTATTTTACTGAATTCATGTTTTCATCTGTAGCTGATTCTAAATACAAAGATTGTCTGCGTAAACGTGAACAGGTCACCTGCTTGTGCGTAATCAAATGTCTCTATAGGTGCTTTCTGAGCTGAAGAGGATATGAGATTCTGGACTGTTCCTCAGACAGGCTTGTGGATGCGTCGCAGTGTTGGAGACAGGAACAAGCACTGTTCAGCCAAAGATTCATAATCAGGGAACATTTTTTAAGTAACTAGTCTCTGAGAGACCGGGATAGGAAAACGTAGACTCTTCCTGCATGGTTCTGGTTCTGCGATGCGCTCCAAGCCCGATCTCCACATCTTCAGCTCGCTGTCCACCTTACGCATACGCTGACAGCGAGCTGCGCTGAGCTCAGTGTCCATCTCAGATGTTCTGATGGGAATCTTTCCATGATTGATGTAGCTACCTCCACGATGTGCGTAATGATTAAAATGTCAGCGCATCTGCAGGCTTGAGATTTCTCCGTCAAAATAAACAATCAAATACGGGAAATATCCGGTCAGTGCGAACCCTGTCATTTAACTGTTTTACCTTCTAGTGAAGATTGTTGCAAACAGAAACCTTAAACCTGATTTACACCAGAGCCACGCAAACTGCGCCGTTATCTCTGTCAGTGTAAATCAGGAAGAAAAAAGTTAAGTTCAGTACAAAGTTTAATTACAACAGTCCAACGAGACAGAGTCTGGATTTGTATTCTGAACAGTTATGTGTGACCCCTCAAAAAGCGTCACCTTTCTCAACTATTAAAACCAGGGTGAAAAAAATTGAAATATTGTAGCACAGACGGGCTACAACTTTTGGATCAATTTTATAAAAACAGTTTAATTAATTATCTTCTGTTGAAAGATAACTTTGAGGTACATGAGCGACTAGTATTGGTTGCTGTCACCTGTTGTGATCAGTTAAAGCAGCTCTCTGCTGTCTGCGGGTAGGCCCCGCCCACAACGCCGTGGCTGCTGTGGCTCCCAGTGTTTTCTTTACTGTGGGAAACGGGTAATAATGGCTCTTTGATGGGAACAGGTTGCCGACCCCTGGTCTGGGGTATGCTTACTGGCAAACGAGAGGACTAAAGCTTTAAATGCAACTCAGGGTTTCTCCCAGCGCTTTCATAACCTGCCAGGCTAAGCGTTATGCCCCGCCCCCCCTCCCCGACCCTACCATGTCCGCTGACACGAACGGCACAATGCAACTAGAGCCCTCCATCAGCTGATACTGGTGAGAAACAGCAGTGGAATGTGTGCAACCCCCCCACCCCCGCTCTCACAAACCGGCTCTCTATCTGGTCTGAGGCCTCTAGTGCACCCCTATTGGAGCACTCTGGTACTACACGCTGTGCAGTGCCACGTAGTGGCAAGTGCGTGAACAAAGACGATGCTTGCGTCAGCGAGAGGTTAAACAGCAAGTATAGTCCAGGCCTTCGCGGTAGAGACAGGACCCGTCACCCAACCTACGTGGACCGAGAAGGAGGGGTCCTTACCAAACCTACGAGGGCGGATCCTTACAAGGATGCTGCCCTGGAATTTGGAAACAGTCAAAATCTTTTTCTTTTTATGCACGGTAACCTGTAATCATACACAAGAACAACTTGAATTTGGCTTTGTATTTTCTGTGAACGGAGAGCTCCGTCGTTATTCTAAAGCCAACAATGTCAACTTAGGGCTAAATTTTGAGGACCTATTAGTACTTTATTATTATGCCAGAAAAAAAAAACTCCTCAGATGAACAGCAACAAACACAAGTTAAAAAAAGGAGGCAATATATTAAATGATTTCAGGATAAAGTATGTAACGCCACTTCCTGAACAATAATTATGGGCCTTCACTGGCTGCCGACCAGCACATTTGTTTAAGGAGAGCTGTTCGGGTTGTCAGTACAACTTCGTAGATGCGGCTGAGATTTACACTCCTGCGTCGTTACAGCTCCCGAGAGAGCTGAGGATTTCTGCATGTCGTAAAACAGAGCCACATTACGCTGAAGGTGACTTTAACTGGATTTAGAGCGGCCGGGGGCCCACGAAACACTCAGTGGCAGATTTAAGCTCCTTCTTTTCTTCTTTAAAGGACTACGGGTGGCTTAATCTATTAGTCTAAAAGCAGCCAATTTATTTGAATCCATCTGTTTAGTTTTGCTGTTGCTGGCAGGGCTGAGCTATTGTAAGCCAGATTTAAACACAGCTGGAAGGAGCATATGTATCACATGCAGCCAACGCAGTATTTACTGTTTCCAGCATGACTGCTGTCATTTATAACTGATATGAAAATGGCCATTCCTTTAAAACTCTTCATAAATTGTGATGGAGATAAATGTTTACTCATAAGTAATATAAGATTGATGGCTATAGATCTGCCACGGGCTTTCCCTTGATAATTACTCTAAACTGAATCACACCTATAGTTCACAGCAAACTAAACCGGACAATTGAGAGTTAAATTTTGTTTCTAACTTAATCGAAACTGAGCCAATGGGCCTTGGGTGATGCTAGGAGCCCTGTGAGCTGTCTGGTCTGACACCTCATTAAAAAGCCAGTTAAGGATGATGTTAAAATAATTGTGCATCATTAGAGGCAGTTTCGCTGATCAGCTGGGCCATGTCAGCATGGGGTTTTTTACAAAAACTGCTCTGCTGATTAATACCCTCGTATAAAGCGCCCTTTTATTCTCTACCACATGTTGTTCTCTTCATGTAGTTAACCGTCATTCTTTTTTCTATTTATACCCAACTCACTCACCTATCCTCCCCCTTTTCACCTGCCTTTTATTCAAATGAAACTTTAAGCAGGATGACAAGTGGTGATAACTCGAATTTAAACAAGATATTATCTTTTGGGCTGCTGTATATCTCCTCTTTCATCCTCCGCATCTTGATCCGCTTTCATCAAAAATAAGGTGGTGAGCGAGTAAACACTGCATCTCATTTAATTGTCTGGAACACCGATGAGCCGCACCCCCGACTCACTCTTATCAACAGAGACGGCAGACACGTGAACTGTTTCGAACTTGTCAGCATCAGATCCTAATTGCTTACTGCGAAATGAAGGTTCAAAAAGACACCTTTCCCTAGGAGATTTTTGAGGCCGTTCAGTAAACTGCCGAGACAGAAGCGACGACACGCTTGTGTGCGGCCGACATCTGGAGGATACATCTTTATTGACAGGGACACATCGATGTAAAGGGCTCACACACTGCTGCTGTCACAAGACAGCTCTTCTTAATCGGCTTTAATGACTTCATCACCACAGAAGGGGAAAGTGTGTGCACGTGCTTACACTGAAATCACTTAATAATAACAAATAGGCACACAAACGCCCACAAACTGACACACTAGCTCTGTTTCCACCATAGGAGTTCTGGGAAATTTCTGGGAGGGGGAAAGGCGATAGGGAAATTATGATGGCTCGACATTGTGCCTCTGGGGAGGGCGGCGGTATGAAGTAAAAAGCGGCGTTAAATGACCAGGAAATGACTGGCGTCAGTTACATTGTGGGAGGATTTCCATCGCATTTTTGGTGCAGGGAGTTTTGAAATTGTGACTTTAAAGCAGCATCGAAGCTGCTTATTTTCCTTTTCTTTGATCACAAATTCTAGTTGTTTGGTGAGATCTGCCGATTTGATTTACCACTGCATGAGTTAACCACAAGTCTCAGCCAGTGACTATACAGGGCCATTTTCAAGGACACACCCCAGTTAAGGTGCTCAGCTGGTACTGGAAAAAGCCCAGAAAGTGGTCCTGCAGACCAACTCAGGGAAATGGAGACACGCATGCCAGGAAGGTAAAATTACCCAGAAGTTCTGGGCCTACTGATGCAATCAATAATAAAAAGGAAACTGGCTATTCCATGCGGACATTGAGACAAGTCACCTGTAGTTGCCCATTCATTGTGTTGAGGTCCTCAGCCTTCTTCTCCAGAGACTGGACCCACACTTTTCTTTTCTGTCGACAGCGAGAAGCTGCAGCCCTGTTACGCTCCAGGAACTTGCGTCTTTTCTCATCCGGGTCTTCACTTGTGGTTCTTCGCCGCCGACCACCTGTGCTTGGTGGGTTTTGAGCTGGGGGCACCGGGGAAGCCTGTTTAACAAAAACAGAAGTGACACAAAGCACAAGATGGGACAATAACGTGGCGAGTACGAGACTTAATTATCCAAGTATGGTGAACTTCACACACAAAGATAACAATGAATCTATAGGCATAATTCTGTTCTCACACTTGGCTGCTACTGACATCAAACCATTAGGTTGTTAAACGAGGAACAAACATACTTAAGTACCTAACAAATTGAGCAGCTAAGAAAAGCCTTATTGTGTTTTGACCTTAACAAAAACAGCACTGCAGACATGAATGCTTACAGGCGTCTCTGTGGTGGAGGTGGCTGGCTGCTGAAGGGAATGTGTGGACGTTTCCTCAGTAGTAGGCAATTGAGGAGCCGGAGTTAGGATCGCAGCTGGAGAGGGGGTCGGGGTCGGAGAAGCGGGATTAGCAGTGTGAGTTACAGCGCTGCTTTGGACTTCACCATCTTCGTTGGTTACCTGAGGAAGCTGCTGGCTTAATGTGGCTTTCAGTTTCTGAAGACAGAAAAGGACAAAAGAGCAAGTAGTCAGAGTTCCTGTCCCAGTTATTTGATTTTGAGACATTCATATTTTTTCTCATGCTACATCAGATTGGACATAAAACCTCTGAACTGCCACCTACTTTTCAACAGAAGATCTGTCTTGCTAAACTAGTTTTCCAAGACCACTCGGACAGTCTATTGGGCCATTCCCATCTGTACCGGGTCGGCCCGGGCCGGGTAGCCCCAGTCGGCCCCAGCCTGGCCCGGTTGATTCCACACATCCTTGCCTTAAGCCCATGTGGGCTGAATCTACCCACCAATCAGAGGCTTGCTCTAATGGAAGGTGTGAATTTGCTGTCAGCAGTGGGTGTGTTGGCCCTGGTCGGCCTGAAGCAGACCCCCTCGAGAAGAGGGCTGAGAATGAGCCTTGGTTGGCCCGGGAAAATACCAGGCCACCCAGATATGTATAGCCCCATTCCCACCTGTACCGGGTCGGCCCGGGCCGGGCAGCGTAGGTTGTTTACATATCTGGGTGGCCTGGAATTTTCCCGGGCCAACCAAGGCTCATTCTCAGCCCTCTTCCCGAGGGGTACTGCTTCAGGCCGACCAGGGCCAACACGCCCACTGCTGACAGCAAATTCACACCTTCCATTAGAGCAAGCCTCTGATTGGTGGGTAGAATCAGCCCATTCACACCTTCCATTAGAGCAAGCCTCTGATTGGTGGGTAGAATCAGCCCACATGGGCTTAAGACAAGGATGTGTGGAATCAACCGGGCCAGGCTGGGGCCGACTGGGGCTACCCGGCCCGGGCCGACCCGGTACAGATGGGAATGGCCCATAAACAACCTACGCTACCCGGCCCGGGCCGACCCGGTACAGATGGGAATGGCCCATATGCCATCAAAAAACAAGTTGCTGCACCAGTTTCAAACTGTATCCACAACCTAATCAGCTTACCTGGCAGCATTAGTAATTCTGACCTGCCCGATGCCCGTTCTTTGCCACCAAGCAGAATTCCCAAACCATGGCGTGATCTCCACCATGCTTCACTTTATAAGGTGGTTTAAATTCTGTGGTCACCAGTCACTCATCCTTTGGTAGTCATGTCACTAAATACAAATTTGGAGCATTTTTATACTTAGATTTCACTTGGTTAAGCACATCAGATACAGGCCATCAGACAATATTAATATCATATACTACAGATTAGTTTTCCTAATCCTGTATCAAACTTCTTTTTTTCTGTGCATCCCTTTTTTCTTTTCTTTTCTTTATAAAGCTTTATTAAGAAGTTGAAAAGTAAAAAGAGAACAAGAAAAAAATCAAAACTTTTTTTAATGATCTAAAAATAGAAATAAAAGTTTTAAAGTCTATCATAAATTCAGGTTCTGAGTTATCATCACTGCTGACAATATTGCTTAAATTAACAATATAATGTAAAAATTGTTAATTTTGGGCTAAATTAGTTCAATGAGTTGTACAAGGCTGATGATTTCTTGTCAGTGACTTAAATATTTTTTACTAAAAATACTCAAACAGCATAAAAACAAGGTAAAATATTACCTTGAACACACACAGATAGGATAACATCTATTTTTATACTAAACCTTTACATTGTAGCACAAGCAATAAGCAGAGAACAATTATTAAGTATTTAACAGGTTCTGAAGTTAATGTAAATGCAATGAAACCTTAAAGTAGGACAGAGCAGTCTCCGGCTCCTCCGCCCTACTGACTGAAAGTGGAATTACAACTACTACAAACAGCCCTGCTTCAGCCTGCTGTAGCTAATGCTACCAATGAGCTAACACTAACATGAGCCAACTTTTACTAAATAAGCCACAATCAAAAAGATTGACACTGTTTGACAAACAACATTATTGCTTACAAGTCCAGTAGCAACAAAGCCAGGTCATCATCAGCCTGTGATTTCATGGCCTTCCTCAAACTAGTGACACAGCCTAGATCTGGACAAGTGGGGGAGTAGAGGGAGGTGGAGTGTACAGTCGGTAAAGACGACTCTCCCTTGCCCTGCCACCAACATGCCTCCATCTAAAGGGCTAGGTTATCCAGAGTTATCTCTGGAGTTATGCTGCTATATATGGTGTGGTATGGGGGCCAAAATTAAGACTACTGCCCAGCAGCAGGAGGCTATATAAATTCCGAAGCAAACTACTGATCTGATTAATGATAAGCTGGCGCTGGTAACTGAGAGGCTGGCGCTGCTTACTGAGCAATAGCACCTTTACCAGCGTTTTTACTAGATATGCTAGGGACTAGCAGCCCTCGGCTGGTCATTGACTGGTTCAAACACTCCCTCTGCTGTCTATTAGCATGGATAGGCTAGCTTTAGCCTGGATGGGCTGGTGTTAGCATTGGAGAGGCTGGCCATTAGCGTGCCTAGGCTGGCCACTAGCTGGATTTCCTACCCCCTTGACGGACCTTAAGCATGGATAGGCTGGCATTAGCGTCGGAGAGGCTAGCCATTAGCATGTCTCGGAGAGTCACTAGTCAGCTAGTGGCCAGCCTAGGCATGCTAATGGCTAGCCTCTCCAATGCTAAGACCAGCCTATCCATGCTAATGGTCCATCAAGGGGGTAGGAAATCCAGCTAGTGGCCAGCCTAGGCACGCTAATAGCTAGCTTCTCCAATGCTAACACCAGCCCGTCCAGGCTAACGCTAGCCTATCCATGCTAATAGACAGCAGAGGGAGTGTGTGAACCAGTCAATGACCATCCGAGGGCTGCTAGTCCCTAGCGTATCTAGTAGTAACGCCGGTAAATGTGTTATTCCTCAGTAAGCAGCTCCAGCCTCTCAGTTACAGGCGCCAGCTTATCATTAGTCAGGTCGGTAGTTTGCTTCAGAATTTATATAGCCTCCTGCTGCTGGGCAGTAGTCTTAATTTTGGCCCCTGTACCGCGCCATAGCTATAGGCTTAGACTGCTGGAGGACACACTGACCACTTTCCACACTCTACTACTTTCTTCTACAATTTGTTATTTAACTGTATTATTTCCTGCAATTTCAGCTGTTAACTTTATTTTTTCTCTAAGTGTTTTTCTCCCCAGAAGAAGCTACAATGATGTTCTGCTGAGCTGTGGTAGCTTCATGGAGGGGGCCATCGTCTTGAACACTGCTGCTAACCATTTAATCATTCCCCCTCTCCTGATAATAACATTTTAATTTCTTTGAATGTGCTACTACTAGTTTACTTGTTTATTGTATTTATCCTAGTGAATCTATAATTAAAGTTTATCTCTCATCAAATAGAATAATTACTAAGAAATCACAATGTAACCGTAGAAACACTACTTGGTGTGTGTGTGTGTGTGTGTGTGTGTGTGTGTGTGTGTGTTCTGTATTCTTGATCCCCAGTGAGTCGTGGTGGATGGCTGCTTATACTGAGCCAGGATGCTCTGGAGGTTTCTTCCTGTTAAAAGGGAGTTTTCCTCTCCCCTGTCGCTGCATGCTTGCTTAGTATGAGGATTGCTGTAAAGTCACTGACACTAGTCAGTGACTCGATGCAATTTGCTGGGTTCCTTATATAGGAAACTTTTTTCTGATTGGTTTAATGAATTGACCTGTATTGGAATGTTCATTATGTGAAGTGCCTTGAGGCGACTCTTGTCATGATTTGGCGCTATATAAATAAACTTGAATTGAATTGAATAGTGTAGGCTGTGCTGATGTTCACTCTGGTTTTAGCTCTTTGCTTCACTTCCAAAGACATTACTCTATTACTTTTTCTTCCAGGTGTTACGTCCCCTCCTGGCCATCCAGGAGGATGAGGGGACAAGCACAGTGAAAATAGGCAGATGGGTGTGACGGTGCAAATAACGAGGTGATGAGAGTAAAATTTAAAAGGGTTTATTAACAAAGGGAGTCCTCTTAAAGGCTAAAGATAACTAAAAAATCCTTCTCTAAACCAAAGATAATGTAACTAAAGGTCCACAGCTATTCTAACGAAAACACCTAAATCAGAATGATCCCCAGCTTTAAAGTCCTCGGGGAGATATGCACTCAAAACAGAGTCTAGCTCTGTAAAAAGACCAAGTCAGGCCGGATTAACGGTTAACGTCTAAAAACAAACTTCTAACAAGTCCAAAATGGGCAAAGACTACAGCTTAGCAGTAGCTCAAACTAGTATAAACTAGTAAACCGGCGCAGGAGGATCGCAGACTAGTTCTGGACCTCCTAGAATGGAAGCTGGCATCTCCTTTTGTAGTCCTCCCAGGTCCGCGTGATGGCTGATTCAGTTCAGCTGCTCTCGCTGCTGGCGTGCCTCTCTCCAAGGTCCTGGACTGCCACGGAGGGAGAGTGAGCTGCTCTGGGAACTGTCCCAGGTGCTGAAAACTCGGCGGTGGGGACATCAGGCTCAGATAAGGATGTTGAGGACTGAGGGGACAAGGGTCGTCACACCAGGTTCTGCCATGATTCCAACAGAAAAGCAAACTTCTTTTTCTTCTTCTTCTTCTTCTTCTGCTTTATATTGATGCTCAGCAAACTGAAATAGTTAACTGCACAGAAAATAGCTAACAGCCATAACGTAGACATAATAGAGCCCCCTAGAACACCTACCCGCTCCACAAAACCGTTAAGTGCAGTTTGTGGCCAGCAGACGGCTGCAGAGTGGTGTCAAATATGAAACTGGTCACGTTTCTAACTCAACAATCACTGAGATCAATGTTAAAGGTCTAGCTTAAAGTATACAAACTATTTAGTTTTACTTTAAATCATCAATACAACATGCATGATTCATTATCTCCAGGAATTACAAAAGTAACCTGACGTCATGTTCTGCTATTTAAACACACTTTTCTAAATGGTTATCAGCAGGTTTGAGTGCCTAGATAAAAGCAGACATTTTGCCAGTTTGCTGGTTTTGAGCAAAAGCAATGACTTTAGTGACGCAGTTGTTGCAACTCATTTATCTGGGAATGTTTATGAGGTTTGCTGGTGAAGGTTTTCCAGGTTGTGGTAATCCAAAGGGGTTTCAAATGAAGGCAACTGG